AAGGGCCTGCCTCCACATTCGTCATTCGGGTGCTGGCTGCATGCTGCGCAAGCGCTGCTGCGCTATTTGCTGGCCAGCGCTCACGCGCTCACGGGCGARCAGGGAAGGAGCAGGCAGCCAKAGCCGAKCTGCGCTGCTGTAAGCTGGGTGTGGCGCAGGGTGGTCCTTGGGTGCAAGTGGCATCTGTGTGTTGGGGAACGAGGTTGTGAGTGAGGCGAGAGACATACCTGGTGCTGGAAGCGTGCGACATTGGTTGCTGTATGCTCGTACTTCGGGAAAGCTGTTGTCGTCATCATTCGGCATTGTAGTATAGGCTAGATAGGATCTGCCATCTGTAGTCTGGGCGCCGAGCGCCAGATAGGATATCAACATCGGTTCTTCATTGATGATGATGAGACTTTACCAGCATTGTCTATTTTGAGTTCTTGGTGTCTTCTTATTTGGTGAAACTCATGATGCAATTCTGCTGTTGGTTCAAGGTCACGACTATCTGGTCTTGTGTACATGATGCTGTTTGATTGCTGAAGTTCGCTATTGCTCATCTTCCTTGCACTTGGAATATGACATCTATGCATATGGGTGAAAAAGGAGGAACACACATTGAATTCCCTGGTGAGACGATGAAAGTCCTACGAAGCAGTCTGGAACAGTGATGCCTTTTTTTTTTTTTTGGACTTGTGTACAACGAATAGGGAGAGAAGGTTAACGGAGACCCTAATTTTCAGACCACTTGCCATGCCATTTATATGAAAACCAAAGGGTCATTTTAATCAAACTTGCCACCAATTTGTAGAGTGGTGACCATACTAACTAACTGCAAAAAAAAATCCAACAAAAAAAAGAAAAAAACATATAAAACAGCAAGGCAAAAGTGCATTTTCATGAAATTTCGCCAGCATCTCAATTTCAGAACCTCTCTTTTACTCTGCCCCTTTGACGCTCTTCCTCCTTTGCCTTTCTCTCTTCCTGCAGTCTGAACTCCCCGTCGCTTGCTTTTTTTCCCCCTTGCTGTCTGTGACTCTCTGTCCATGATGATGATGATGATGATGATGATGATGATGAGGATGAGGATGATGATGATGTTGATGACGATGGGTGTGATTGCAGGAGTGCAATTCTGAAGGAGGGAGCAAAGAGGGTTGAATTTCTCAGGTTGGTGGCAAACACCATAGAGTCTGTGCAGCCGACATTGACAACAACACTTTCAACGCTGTCGAGCGCGCAGCAGACGGCTTGGAAATATGCATCAAAGGCCAGACTTCCTGGCATCCCAGGTGAGAAGGTGGCATCATGATTTTTTTTTATTTTTTAATTTTGTTTTCGACCACTCCTTTCTTTCTTTCTTTTTTGACTTCTTTTTCTTCTTCTTCTGACAATCTGGAAATCAGCCCATATAGCGTGACACAGAGGCGAAAAAAGGACGAGGTCCGGAGGAAAGTCTAGGATGGAAAATATATGTGGGTCAGATGTTGAGCGCTCGATTCATCTTGGGACGAGTTTACGATTTTTTTGAAATTTGTGTGAACATTTACAATTACAGTGAAATTAAGTTTCACCTTTCACATAAGCTTGAGTCGTGAACTTGAAACGCACGACGATAAGTCTAGGATGGAAAATATAGGTGGGTCAGATGTTGAGCGCTCGATTCAGCTTGGGACGAGTTTAAGGATTTTTTGAAATTTGTGTGAGTCGTGAACTTGAAACGTACGATGTTGCAATCTGAGTTTTTTAAATGCCAAATCATGATTTAATTATAATCATGATTATCATCGTAATCATTGTTGTTGTGATCGTCTTCACCATACTTGTTGCTGCTAACCTCGTCATCGTCATCATTTCCGTTGCTTTTTTTTTTCAAGCTGGAAATTGGCTCGAGCGTCCCTTACATCAAAATGGAGTACTCACACTATCCTTCCCTCTGTTATGGTCGAGGGACCCTGAGATGACATCATTGATTTCTCCTTCCCAGGAGGATATACCTCCACTTCACCCGTGTTCCTCAAATTTACCAATTCACTCTTCTCTCAATCCATCTCTCCTCCTATTTTTGCTACTGCTTTTGCTCCTCTTGCTGCTGCTGCGTCTCTCTTTGTGGTTGTGGTTGTTGTGAGCTAAGTGTGGTCACACCTGTCCACACGATAGGGTGTTAGCCCCCCCCCCCCCACCCCATGCATGTTCTTCACTAGCTGAAAACTTGTCACTGCATCAACCGGCCGTCGTCACTTGTTCAATTTACAAGTCGTCGATGGGCGTTACTTGTGTTCGCTATTCTGGCAAGCGGCGAGGGTAGCATCCTCTGTTTGTGAGGCACAGGCAGCAGAGCCTATTGAGGTTAATGCTGCACCTTCTGTTTGTGAGGCACAGGCAGCAGAGCCTATTGAGGATGATGCTGTACCTTCTGTTTGTGAAGCACAGGCAGCAGAGCCTATTGAGGTTGATGCTGCATCTTCTGTTTGTGAGGCACGGGCAGTAGAGCCTATTGAGGTTGACGCTGCACCTTCTGTTTGTGAGGCACAGGCAGCAGAGCCGATTGAGGTTGATTCTGATCCGAACTTGTGTTCTTTTGCAGGGACAGAGATGGTTTTGAGTGCATCGAAGTCAGAGCTGATCGCGAAACTAACGTCAGGCGGTTCTGCGGCCAGAGAAGCAGCCCTCGGGGCACTGCGGAAGGCCGGAGTTTTGCCACCAGGACCGTCTGGATATCTGCCGCAGCCAGGCATCAACAACGGTTCCAGTCAGACGGCTGGGGAACGGGAAAGGGAAAGGGAAGGTCCACAACAAGCCAGCCACCCCACGCACCTGCAGGATATGTCGGCGGAAGAGAAAAGCCCTGGTGCGGTTAAAGAGTCAGCTATGGCAGCCATAGAAGTGGACTTGCATGTGCCTGGTCAACTAGTCCATCTGGTAAGGAGAACGGGCTCAGGGGAGCGAACAGGTACGACCGAAGGCGGCAAGAATATTCCAAATATGGAAGGTGGAAACAGTATTCCAAATGAAGGCGATGGGATGGATACGGACGTCGTGAAGATCTTTATAGGCCCCGTTGAGAATCGATTTGCCAGAATTATTTTGTCAGACACAATGGTGTCTGATCACAGTTGTTCGAACTACTGGTCCGCTCTACGGGATGCTCTGAAGACCATCTAGATGTGTTTTGAACTGCCACCCTATTCTCGCTTGCAGCGCTGAGGATGAACCGGTTTCTTCGCATGGGACAATGGGGTCTGACTATTCATGCTTCCACCTCTGCGCATGAACCAGTTTTTGTGTGCGGAGGAAAACTGTGCATGACACAATGGTGTCGGATGATACGTGTTCGAACTACTGGTCTGCTCTGCGGGACGCTGTGAAGGCAATCCTAGATGTCTTTCGAACTGCCACTCTATTCTCTATTCTCGCCTCCACCTCTAGGCATGAACCAAGCACCGCAGACGGATGAAAAACTGGGGCTGGTAGAATGATGGCTAATGACAGGTATTCCAACTGCTGGTACCCTCCGCAGGATGCTCTGAAGACGATATAGATGTAGTTTGAAACTGCCGCTCTATTATTGCTTCCACATCTGACCAGGAACCAGTTACTGTGCACGGGGAAGAAAAACTGTGGCTGTGACACGATTGTGTCTGACGACAGGTGTTCGAAATAATGGTCTGATCTACGGGACGCTCTGACGACAATGCAGATGTCGTTCCAACTGCCACTCCCAACACTGAGCGTGAACCGGTTGCTACGGACGGAAGAAAACTGTCGCTGTCACGATGGTGTCTGGTGATGATGACAAGTGTTCTGACTACGGGTACGCTCTGCGGGAAGCTCGGAAGACGATGAAGATGTGGTTTCAACCGCTGCGCTATTCTCACTCCCGCCTCTGATCCTGGGCCCAGTTTCTGCGGATGGACAAAAACCTGTTGCTGCTGAAATCCCCATTCTATGGACAACTGTAAAGGCAGAAGAGGCCCCCGACTCCGAGTAACCAGGGCAGTGACCGAAGAGAGTGGTGCGTTAACGATTCCGCTCGGAGGGGGTGGGTGGGGCGGTGGAGGAAATTAAGACAATCTAAGACAGGACTATATTCTTGTAGATAGACAATGTGTCTTCTTCGACGAGTCAACGTTCGACGAGTCAACGTTCGACGAGTATGTGGACTGGCAAACAGACCCAATACGTTCGGACTTTCAAACATTTTGAATGTATCGGACCTGTAAGATGTCCACGCACATTTAGTATGTGCTGTGTACAGTGTGTAGTGGAGCGAGGCACAGTGTGTCTTGTTCCACTCCACGAGGCAGGAGATTGCATGCTGCTAGATCATCGAGGCCATCTACGCCTGGGCCAGTTTCTGCGGATTGAAGGAAGACCGTGTCTCCGCCTAATCTCACCCGTGAGACGGATTGCATGCTGCTAGATGAGGCACAGTGTGTCTTGTTCCACTCCACCAGGCAGGAGATTGCATGCTGGTAGATCATCGAGGCCATCTACGCCTGGGCCAGTTTCTGCGGATTGAAGAAAGACCGTGTCTCCGCCTAATCTCACCCATGAGACGGACTGACTGAAAAGGTCAACTTGAAAGCTCCGAGGTAACCAGGGCGGTCACAGAAAGGCATGGTGTTTTAACTCCGTTTCCACTCTGTGGGAGGTCCTGAAGACTAGCGAAGACCGGAACATGTGCTTGTCGACGTTATCGTCTGACGAGAGAAAGGAAAGAGACAATCAATCAATGTGTTTTACTCCACTCCGCCAGGAGATTGCATGGTGCTACATCCCCGTGGCCAGCTACAGGGATGATTTGTTTGGAGTGGACGTGAGCGACCACCAACGTCTTTAAAGAAGGACAGAGACGACAGTAAGAGCATATCGCGAGGACTTTCCTGGTATTTATCTTTTTGTGAAAGCTTTTCTGGGCCGTCCCTGGATGCACCTCCCCACAATTACATCCCCAGAGAACTGAAAAAATCCCACTGTGAGTATATGCCCTCGGTCTTTCATCTGGGGTGTGAGAAATGTCTTCAGAGCACACACTCGCAGACGGACTTTTTTCATACTGCTCAGGACGTAATGGCTGTCAAATGCATCCAGGTTGGACTGTAATTGCCACCAGATACATTTTGGAAAGACCTAGCGTGAGTACGCCCTCGCAGCAGTTGGCATATGATGATGAAATGACCGTTAAGTTACTATTTTGTTTTTTACTATATCTTATTTTGACCTTGGCACTGGCGAAAATTCTGTTGAAGCAGTTCACAGCAGGCTGCCATGGGCATTGGTGGGTCGGAAAAATGATTGGACATCCGTATGCACTGTGCAGTCCCCCTTGAAACCGCCACTACGAGCGAGCATCGTTTTGCCGAGGCACTGAGGCAGATTCCCCCTGTGCGTCAATCTTCGCCGAAGCGCCAGCGCGCTGCTTTCTTTTTTCTTTTGGCCCGTGCCACCAGCAATCGGGGTCCGGTTGCCGGAGCCTCCAAAGAACCTGGAAGGTTGCATTTCTGAAGAGGGGGGTGCTTTTCCGAAGAGGGGGTTGCCAGTTCTCGAAGAGGGGGTTGCATTTCCGAAGAGGGGGTTGCATTTCCGCAGAGGGGGTTGCCGATTCTCGAAGTTGCCTGGGAAAGGTAGTGGGGGTTGGAAACAACCACGACCACTGCTTGCTTACTTTCGGTTGTTGGTTGAGAAGCCCGCAGGTCAAGCCTGTCTTTTTTTTCTTCTTTTTTTTCTTCTTTTTTTTCTTTTTTTTTTCTTTTTTTTTCTTTTTTTTTTTTAAACAAAGCCTGTCTTGGACAAGGCAGTGGATGGGATTGACAGCATTTGAAAATAGCGACAGATTTTTCATAGCGATCGAGGAAGGAGAGCCCCAGATCATCTCCTCCACAATTCAGTAGATATGACCAAATAGAGGCGCTCGCGGTGGTTTAAACCTGCCGTACATCCGGAAAAGCAGATTGAGCCTCTCCTAAAAATGTGAGAGGCCATGGAGCATCGATAAATTGAATAGGCGGCAGTTCATGGCCTCCTATTTTTTAAGGAGAGGCTTCATCTCCTTTTTCGGATGTACTGGTGGGGTTTAAGAAGGAAGGTTTCATTCACAATCAGTCTGCATGCAAAAGGCACCACACTGTCATGGTGCCAGGGTGGTCGACCTAGCTGGCTATTTCGTTCAGATAGGTCACTGTCTATTTCGTTCAGATAGGTCGCTGTCTATTTCGTTCAGATTCTCTGGACATGTGCATCTCCCGGAAGATACGATCGAAGTATCGGTGAAGGGGAACAAAATGACAGAAAGTGCAGGTGAGTCAGTGTGTGAATGACAGAAAGTGAAGGTGAGTCAGTGTTTGAAGTTGGGCTCTTGATGGGATTCGCCAGCGCTGCGCTTTCCGATTAGTCAGGTCGTCCGGGAAAATAGGGTGACCCGGGCGGCCCGGCTCGTAGCCTAGTCTTGAATATTAAAAGAAGTAATCGTTCTGAGCTGTGGGATTTCCTCACACAAATGTATGGACAGGAAATAGCTTGATTCTTTTTTTTGGGGGGGGGTGGGGGACGCAAGAAAGCGATTATCATGAAATCACGAGGCGGGGAATTCCTTGCAAACAACCCGGAAAAAAGACTCTCGCATATTTGGATCATATTACCCAGCTTAGGTACGTGGGCTGGGCCTTTAACCCAACAAGTGGGTGAGCCAAAGTGAGTGGGCAGCCTATTGGCTATCCAAAACAACAATGCCCAGATTTGGGCCCAAAGAACCAACAGAAAGGGCCTTGTGGCCATATCAACCCAACAAAAAGGCCTCCGAAGGGTAGAAACTCTATTCCTATAGTAGCCTATCCCTACTCCAAACTAACTAATAGTCTGCCACTCGTACCCTCAGCTAGCTACCTTTTTCCCCTGAATACAACGCACGGTTATTATAGCTATATTTAGACCAAAAGATACCCCGAATACAGCTATAAAGACCGTACATTGTATTCAAGGGAAGAAGGTAAGTTAATTCCAGCTGCTGTGACTCCCTGTCTACACCAGTAGGGTGGACCATTCCGGTGCTGCACCACCGTGGCACTCTTGAGCCCAAGCCATCCCTCTTCTTGCCTACTACTGGGGATTAAGCAACTAAGGGCCCTGGTTAAAACCCCAAATCTCTTTGTCAACCTCCCTAACCTAACCTAGCCTAACCAAACCTACTATTCCTAACCTAACCTAACATAACCTAACCTTATATCCCATCCCTATCCTAACCTACTATTCCTAACGTAACCTAACTTACTATTCCTAACCTAACCTACTATTCCTAACCTAACCTAACCTACTGTTCCATTCCTATCCTAACCTACTATTCCTAACCTAACCTAACCTACTATTCCATTCCTATCCTAACCTACTATTCCTAACCTAACCTAACTTACTATTCCATTCCTATCCTAACCTGCTACCTACTATTCCTAACCGATCCTAACCTACTATTAGTAACCTAATCTAACCTATTATTCCTAATCTAACCTAACCTACTATTCCTAACCTTACCTTTCTTCTATTCCATTCCTATCCTAACCTACTATTCCTAAACTAACCTAACCTACTAGAATGCGCGAATTCCCTACTATTCCTAACTTAACCTAACTTACTATTCCATTCCTATCCTAACCTACTACCTACTATTCCTAACCTAACCTAACCTAACCTACTATTCCTAACCTATCCTAACCTACTATTAGTAACCTAATCTTACCTATTATTCCTAACGTTACGTAACCTAACCTAACCTAAACTACCTTTCCTAACTCACTTCCAAGAGATCTTTCCTACCTCAACACAATGCAACCGAACACTCGACAACAGAATCCACAGAACCAACAAAACAGTCTGATATGTGGCAGGAGCCCAATTGCCACCACCTGCCTTTGGCACGTCCAAACAACACAACAACTTTAGGAGAGAACAACATGAGTAACACAGGTTAGTACGCAACTGCACACCACACACCGAGATGAGTTGAAGCACTCCTGAAACTGACTATGTTGAGAGTTGCAGGGACATCCCGCCCTCCCCCATGGCCAGGCTGCCTCAGATGCCCTACGTTTCCGTGAACTTCTTCAGGACATTGCCTCTATTCGAGGTTGAGTACCTTCCTTCTCCGGTCAGCATGGACCGCACATGGAATGTGAAATTTTGGATTACACACCGAATGTAAAATTTCACTGTGCTCACTATTTCCTCGTCTGTCAGGAAATAGCTTTCTGCCAAAACTTCTGTT